ATGTTATAGCCTTACATATTTTCTTCTGCATTCATTCATTGATTTGGTATCCGTCAATTTTCTACGTACTTCCCGGAAAAGGTATATCATTGTATCAACCAAAGGTCAAAAAACGAAAGAAAGTATTAAAAATTTTCAGTTAATCAATCATTTGTCACTTATATATACACATACGTTACTTTTATAATCTATTCAATATTATTTTACATATATACCTTCTTTATACTACTTCGTATAAATACATTATACTAACATATCGTTTTCTCTAGCTGTGTCTCATGAATCTCGTGACCTATATTCTAGGTTAAATTAATTTTTATAAAAGTGTTTGAAATAAAATTTATTACTAATAGAAACTTAAAACTATTAAAACACTTTACAAATCTATAGTATTAAACTATCCAAAATAAACATAAAAAACCTTAAGTCTCACGAGCTCAACAAATATAACTCTTATAAAATACACACAAAAATAATGTGAGAGTAGATTTGGTCATTAGGTCTTTTGGTCGGATCTAGGATTTTTGTATCCTAAAAATTTAGACATAACTAGGTATTTAAAATTTTCTATTTCGGTTTTGGATTGATTCTTTTAGGATTTAAATTTCCAAAACACACAAAATTTTACCATAAATTTGATTTGAGAAACCGAAAATACCTAAAAATATTTCCTAATACCCAAACTTTTTATTTTATTTTTTAAATTTTCTCGAAACTCTAAACACTAATCAGAAACTTCGATCCGATTTAAGTATTCATAAAACCGAAAGCACATTAGAAATACCGAACATATATCTGAAATACATAAAAGGATATACAAAATATCTAAGTACTTTGGATACCCGACTGGATCTCGGGTAGGACCCGAAATCAAATAGGGATCATGATTCGAAAAAAATAATCAAATATGTACTTTATTTGATTTTTTAGAGATCCGGTAAAATGTACAGACTTAAAAAAGTTATATAAGAGTGCATATACAAAATCTTACATAAACTAATTCATATTTAATAAACCTTTAAACAAATATACTTCTTTGATATAATCATTTTGTAACATAATAATGTACACCCATTTTAAAGTACTAATTCATAAATTTTCTTATCTTCTGGGGAGGTTAGATTCATGGAGTTTGGATCACGTTCTTCATGAACGCAATGAAGCTGTAGCGGCAATTGCTTTAAGTGTCACTCATGATCTGTATCACCAGTCGTATGTCGCCCGAAGTGCTCCAGTGTGACTACATCACTTACTCGCTTTAGAGGCTAAACACTAAGGACTTTGGTGAGATCCCTTCCACTTTTGTTTGGTGTCTAATGATATCTCATCTTATCTCTTTTATTCTTATCATTTGTATCACTTTCAAACATTTAATTGTCACAGTGTTATAAAAAAAATCATAAATTCTCTTTACAGTCCAAAGAAAACTCTGCACTTCCAAACACAGATTCAAATCTAGTGAAATATTTAAAATAAAAAGACATAAGTTTTCACATTTATTGAGATTCTTATAAAACAAAAAAGATTATTAAAATACTACCACTCAACCACCGTCGTGTGGTTGAATACGCAGACAAAGTCAACGCGAATGTCGAATACGTTACAATTATGATATAGCATTGTTACGTAGTTTCAAAAATTATAGAAAGTAGTTATAATTAAGAATTAAAATGTAGCAGTGTTATTCAATACATAATGTTATAAGTAATCGGAAATGTTTACGTAATTAATTCTGAAGAAACAAAAAAAACATAATTCAGACTCAACAAACAAACTAAATTATTAACCTTTTCATAACTTTTATTCTTCACCATTTTTTTAGATTAGTGAAAATTTTTAGTTTCAACAAATTGGACAATAGACTATATATAGAAAATTTGAAAACTTGTGGAATGGATACAACTATTCAAATTATAACCAGTTATATTAACGAATAGTCACAATTTTCAACGTATGCCTAACTAAATTAATTTATTAATAATTAATTAAATATAGTTTATTAATAATGATACGCTTACAACGTACGTAAATCATAATAATCAAACAGATACGTTTTTCATTAAATTATATCTATAAATAGATATATTTTTAAAAAAACTTGTACAATATTTTATAACTAACTTTTGAAAAGATGGCATTGTTTCAAAACATATATTTTAAACATAGTCCTTTTAACTAACTTTTGAAAAGATGAATTGTTTCAAAACATATATTATAAAAGAATCCTTTTATGGCAATGGAAAAATAGTTTTATACACTAATACAAAATTACAACCTTTCAAAGTATATGTAAAAAAAAAATTTTAGGATATAAAAAATTAAAAATACAAAATTACAACCTTTCAGCTTAATTGAGGTTTACACCCTTTGACATTAATTGGATTTGTTATTATTATCATCATTAATACTTTTTAAAAGAAATCACTACTATAATAATTTTCTCAATCGTTTTATCTCTGGTTTTTGCTATAGTTCTTAAACAAGAAAGTTTGTTAACATAAACACTAATAACTAGCAGACTGATAGCTAGTGTAGTTTATGAAAGCCGTCAAAGAGAAAGGAAGATACCAACGGACAAACCAAAGGATTGTTTGTGTCGGATATCTGATATCTGTGGGGTGTGATTCAAAGTGCGTGCTGTTTTGCCAAGCTCTTGTCATGTTCCTTCGGTCCTTCCTAATCATCACACAGTTGATATGTGTTTATAGATAGGTTTCTTGTTTTATTTTCTTGGGTTGGGATCGCTGGAGCTTGGATGTTTTGGCTTCCCTTCTCTTTTTTTTTTTTTTTCTAAGAGGATTGAGACGTTTGAAGAAGATTAGAATGTGACTTTGTATTACGACATTAATTTATTTATAATAATTTATTAGATATATATTGAACAAATTGGTGTGGGCTAGGCTCAAGACTTTTCGGCCCAGATAGGGTGTACGGTACATAAGTAGTTGAAGTTGTTGAGCAGCCGCGACTCTGTTAGAGAGAGAGAGAAAGAGAGGATAGGAAAGTAGATCGAGAGTTTGAAACGGATGAAGATTAGGAGCTTCTGGATCGTGGCCCGATCTCTGAATTGGCGGTAGAGATGGCCGTAGCAGAAAAGTTTTGATTCATATATTTGATCTGGCTGCAAATTAGGATTGGGAGGTTGAAGTTTAAGATGTTCTTGGATCGTTGGCGGATCTCAGAGGTTGATGAAGAGATGGCTTGGATTGTTTTTTCCCTTCTGGCTGCATAATTAGGAACTTGGGAACACTTCTTCCCCAAATTGACAAGGCCTAGACGAAGAGTTTGACAGAGAGACGAAAACAGAGGATGGTGAATTTGATCGAGGGGTAATTGAAACCGATTAATATTTGGATCTTATGGATCGTATCCGGATTTGATGGATCGGTGAAGAGATAGCCCTCCTATCAAGGTTTGATTTTTTAATTGTTCTAGCTGCAAAATTTGAGTGAAGCAATTTTCTGGTGATTTCTCTCCACAGGCAAAAAGGCTGATGATGAGATTGCATGTAAATGAGCTGATACAATCTGTCTCTGGGGACTTGAAGGTAACTAAATGAGAAGCTACAATCTGCAATCTTCGTTTCCTTTGTGTTCGATTCTTAACCTTATACCCTCTCTGTTCTGAAGCAGAGGAAAATCTAATTAAGCTGATCTTTGCGAGGATGGGGTTCATGTATATGATGAATATCTACGCCTTTCATGTTACATTAGAACCATCAACTCTTACCTGCTTTTTTTTTTTTTGGTTATTCGAAAGACAGAAACAGAGGATAGAGATCAGGATCTTCTGGATCGTGGCCCCTGATCTCTAAGTTTTCCTGAAGAGTTTTTTTTTTGTTAGGATCTTCCTACATTCCTTCTACCACTCGAGAGTGAACAAATTTATCTGGTAATTTCTCCACTGGAAGACTGATGAGATTACGAAGTTAATGCGCAGCTAAAATTTGTCGCTGGGGAATTGAAGGTGGTAGAGAGTCCTTACTCACTCTTCCCACCATCTTCGTTTCCTCTGTGTTAATTGATTCTTAACCTTATTTCTCATATTCTCTCTGCTCTGAAGCAGAGGACATCTAACGAAGCTGAAGTCTGAGTTGAGTCTGTACTAATAGAATACCATCAACCCTCTGTGATCTGAAGCAGAGGAAATCTAAGACACAGTAGGAAGACGTCATGCGGAACTTATTTCTGTGAAAGGGTTTGTACTCGAATGAATTAGCTGCAGCAAAAGGATGGTCAAGCATTAGTTGAAGAGTGTACCAACAATGAAGCGAGAACAGAGTTAGAGGAATCGTCTAACCGAGAGTGAGGGGAATCTATGCTAGTCTGAGTCGTTGCAAGAAGAATACAATCAGATGTTTCCTCCTCATCCGTTCTGAAATCTAACGAAGCTGAAATCTGAGTATTTGCAAGAAGAATACCATCACAGAGTTGTTGCTCCTGGTAGGATGGTATACCTACCCTCTCTGTGCTCTGAAGCAGAGGAAATTTAATGAAGCTGAAGTCTTGAGTCTTTACTAGAAGAAAACCATCAACTCAGGTATATCTACCCTCTGTGTTCTGAAGCAGAGGAAATCTAAGACACCATAGGAAAACGTTTGGATCGTCAGGAAGCAGAGCATTCTTTGAATGAACACCTCTCTCAGACCTTACCAAAGTATCAATGTTATATATAGCTGAAGAGCGTACCAACAATGAAAAAGAACAGAGTTAGAGGACGTGGTGCGGGAAGTCTATGCTAGTAAAAGGCTACAAGCACTGGAAGAACTGAGAGGCAAACCTTAAGCAAAAAGGTTGATGAGAAGACTGCAAAGTTATTAATGCATGTAAATGAACAGCTACAGTCTTCCCACCATCTTCGTTTCCTCTGTGTTGATTCTGAAGCAGAGGAAATCTAAAAGGTTCTGTTAACTCGAGTGAATTGGCTGCAGCAAAAGTATGGTCAAGCATTAGCTGAAGAGCGTACCAACAATGAGTTAGAGGACGTAGTGCGGGGAATCTATGCTAGTACAATCCGGTGAAGAACTGAGGCAAACCTTAAGCGAAAAAGTGCAACAGGTTTTTGTCTACTCAATCAAATTCGGGGGCATCTACTTGTAGGATCTCACTGACCATGTAGGCGGCACTTATTGCAGGAAGAGTTAAGAAGACGTGTTCCGTGGATAAGGTAAATCAAGACGTATTAATAATATTGCTCTGCTTAATTTTTCTAAATGAACGTTTCCTGTAGGCTAGGCCTCTCCTAGGGTGTGAGGAATTAATCACCCTAGTTCCTGAGTCTACAAGGCCTCTCCTAAATCAAAACAGATTGAGGCTATGCGGGTAAAACTATCACCTTATGTTGTTTTGTTCCTTTTTTTTGTTGAGAAGTTCTCTGAGATTAGAAACTCGGCCGAGCAGGGAAAGTTAAGCAAGGGCAGACTGTAGAGAAGAGACAGGAATATCTGGCAGCGAAGGAGGAAGCAGATAGCCTTAGATCAAGAAAGCTGAGGAGGGCTCAGGTATATAATGAATGTGTAGGACCTTCCAATGTACATTGGTACAATCGATCAATCTCAATGCTTCTTTTCTTACCTGCTTTATGTTATTTGCGTGTTAGATTGGAGAGGTATTAAGAAGAGAAGTATGGACTGATCACAACGGTCCAGGTAAATGATGTTACCAGCTATGCTTTTATTGTTTCACTAACTATGTCATTAAGGATGAAAGTTTTCTTATCTTTCCAGGTAACTGAAATTTTTGCATATTTTTTCTATCTCTTTCATTTGACAGTCTGAAGAGAAAATAAGGTAGAAAGATGTATAAAAAGGGCTATGGAGAAGCTGATAGGAAAAAGGTCAAGCCGAACTTACTTATGAGAAAGGGTAATTTCTCGGTGTGTTGTTGTTAATGGTTTAATGCATCCGAGTGCCAAACCGTAACCGTTTCAGCATGCTTGAAACAGGAAAGGGCTTCGCTTATTTGCTCGGCTTGGATCCTTGATGTTGATATGCCCATCATTTCAGGAAAGCTGAGGAGGGCTCAGGTATATAACGAATGTTCATGTTCATTGTTACCTCTCAGTTGAGACTACAAGGTACTTAAATAATAAACGTTTGATCCTGTATTTTTTTTGTTATGTTTTTTTTTACCGACCGTTAAAAAATATGTACTGTAACCTTATTTTCTGACTGCCGGTAAAATTCGCACTATATATATAAGTGACTTTTGGTCTTCTTCAGATGAGCAGCAGCGCAGTCAAAGATCCCTTTCGCAGGTTAGGGTTTCTCTTACTCTATCTCTCTCTCGACCTAGATTTGGGTTTTTTTTCCAATCTTTTAACCAATTTGTAATCTCTGTGTGTTAAAATCTAATATTTGAGTTTAAACTTAAATATGGTTTAGTGTCTGATGGAATTTTGTAATTTTGTAATAATAGCAGCAGTTGACGATCTAGGTCCGTTTTTCTCTATTACTATTGATTTTGTGGGTTGATTATCATCTCCACTCATGATTATGTAGATCACATATCTGAGTTTTAGGTTCATGTATCATTTTGTGCTTTGATTATCACATATCTGACTTTTAGGTTTGTAATTGATTGATTGATCCATAGTTTCTCTCTCGACCTAGATTTGTTTTTTTTTTTCCAATCTCTTAACCGATTGTAATCCCTGTGTGTTAAAATTTAATATCTGAATTTAAACATCAAATATGGTTCAGTGTCTGATGGATTTTTGTTATTTTTTCTTCTGAAACAGGACGCAGCAGCAATTGATTATCACAATCTAGGTCAGTTTTTCTCTCTAACTATTGATTTTGTGCGTTGATTATCACAATCTGACTTTTAGGTTTGTAATTGATTGATCCATAGTTTTGAACAGTCTCTCTCTCTCGACCTAGATTTGGTTTTTTTTTTTCCAATCTCTTAACCGATTTGTAATCTCTGTGTGTTAAAATCTAATATCTGAGTTTAAACATAAACTCAAATATAGTTCAGTGTCTAATGGATTTTTGTGATTTTTTCTTCTGATGATCTAGGTCAGTTTTTCTCTCACTATTGATTTTGTGGGTTAATTATCACATCTGAGTTTTAGGTTCATGTATCATTTTGTGCGTTGATTATCTGAGTTTTATAATTGAGTAATTTGTTCTTTTGATTCTGATTCTGATCAATCATTTATGTAGTAATTTGTTTGGATAGTTACTTTATGCCAAATTTTGACTTTATTAATTCAACTCTCTATTTATTGTTGTTGTTAATGACAGATGGCCAATTTTCCAGCTCCGAGCATATCACTTCCTCTTGAGGTTCAAGCAGTGATTGCTCTGTCGGTTCACAACAATCTGACAGCTGGCGAATGGGGCATCTTGTTCCAGCATGCCGATCTCTTTGGTCCTCCTATCAACCCAATTCGTATCCCTCCACACACGGCGGGCCTGTGGAGGGTTGATAATCCAAGAAACTTTGACAGAAACGAGTGGATTCACGGTTCAGTTAGCATCCAAGCAAACATGGGAGATGATGATCTTGGTCTTTTCTTCCACCGCAGAAGAGCTGAAGGCGCCAACCAGTATGAGCTAGAGGATGGAAATGTTGTCACCCTAAGGAGACACACTGTGAGGAACCATCAGCAGATCTTTGAGTCCACTGTTACTTTTGCACACTACTATTGGGTACCCTTGTAGTGAACTATGTAGAAACTCTTGTTTATTATTATGAGGATTATTATGCTATTTGAGGATTATTATCTATTGCAAAGCTTATTATGCTATTTGTTATATTATTATGCTATCTGTTATATTATTATGCTATATGTTATCTATTATATTATTATGAGCTTATGCAATGATTATGAATCACATCTACTCTATTAAAATAATTCTTTTTATCTATTAATACAATAATAGTCTTCTTTTTATCTAGTAATACAATTTTTCATTTAAATTTAGACCATTTTTAGAGTGTTACAAATAATACAAGTCATATAGTTAATTGAACCGTATTACTTAAATTAAACCGGTGGTTATTTATGGGATAATCTTGAGTTTAATTTTGTTTTTAGAATAAATTACATGGTTGGTTTTTGGGATTAGTGTTAAGGAAAAACTCTAAAAAACATTAAATAAACTTCCACCTTAATAGATCAAAAAATCAATTATTATTTTCAGGTCCAAAGGTATTTAACATTTTTAACAAAACAAAATTGTCTATTATTAATCATTTATTTAAAACATGTTAATGCATTTTTTTATTTTAAATAACAATCACTTTGTTTTGATAAATTTCAATGGTAACTTTTAAATAATTATTGTTTTATTTTTCTTAAATAATTTACTGATTTAAATAAAAAGTAAAACAAAACCAAAAACCAAATCTAAAAACTAAATCCGAAACCAAAAGCTGAAAATGCAGGTTATATTTTTTTGCTTTTGTTTATTTACAAAATAAACTATTGCCATTTTTGTTTAAAAAGAATTTGTCATCTTTTCAGTTTTAAATTAGATGTTTGATTATTTAGGATTTGTTTGTTGGTAATATTTGTTCAAATTAACTCATCGGGTATAAACATTAAAAACTCAACCCAAAAGCTGAAAATAAAAAATAGAAACTTAAAAACTAAAAATCAAAAACCAAAATCTAAAAATAAAAACTAATGCAATCATCATCACAAATTTTGTTGAACTAATTTTATACCAAAATCTTCTTTAAATTAAGACAAAACTCAATTATATAATTATTAATCATAATAAATTTTCGCGAAATCTAGTTATCTATAAGATTATGATTATGAATGTTTTTAAGACCCATTTAAATTAGGTTTAAAAGCCCAATTAAATCAGTCTCGGGATCAGAAAGCCACAACCACAACGTGGCACATCTTCTTCGGGATCACTTCTTCTGCTAGAAACCTTGTTTCCCTCCCTCTTTCCTTTGGCCTGAAACTGAGTGAGAGAGAGAATAAAATAAATGAGATTGAAAGGGAGGGAATATTCGCCGGAAATTAACCGGTAAATGTCTCAGTGTTTATATTCGAATTCAATCTTTTCGGCGACGATACCCATTTCTTTTATTATCTCTCTCGAATACGATTCCTATTCCCTTCCATGCCTGTATAATAATAACATATCCACCATGCGTCTCTCCAAGCGTCACTTCTCTCTTTCTCTTTCTCTTTGCCTCTCTGTATTCACTTCCCCTGTAAAATTTCAATCAAGAAGACGATTCCTCAACTCATCATCTGCTGGTTAGTTTGGTTCTTACTACATTTGGTTTGGTTCTTTTTGGTGTAATTGTGTTTTCTTGTTTGCTTAGTTGACTTAATTTTCTTAACCATATGATAGCTGATTCTGGTAGTTGGCACAAGTCCTCTTAGTGTGTTGTCTGAAAAGTCTCTTAGTGAACTTATATAGGAAGGTGTGCTTATTAGTCGCTATATAACACCTCTTTAATTCTTTCAAGTTGCAATTTTTAGGTCTTTCCTAGAGCATACTTTAAGAAGATACTTAGGATCAGGACTTAATCTTTTGTCTTTTGAGCGAGGTGAGATGTTAGTGATGAGGACTTAACTAGGGATTTGTTACTCTTTTTTTTCCCTTTAGTGGTTGGTGGTGACAAAGCTTAGTGGTTCTTATGTTCAGTTTGTTTTCTTTTTCACTTTAGGGGTTTTGTTACTTCTTTTTCTTTGTCCTTTTGGTGGTAGTGGATCATGTTGATCGTATGACTCGTGTTAACTAATCCCAGACTCACATCCCCTGTAGAAAAACGTGTCATTTAGATAGTTTATCTTCTCACGTGCTTCTAAATTTAGCTTTAGTGGGTTCTGACTAAACAGTTGCTTCTTAAATATTCTTATTATCTATTTTTGGATATAGATTGTTTCATTCTCTATGCTATGTGTGGCGTATACGTTATATATCCAATATCCTCCTGAGTTCATTTAAAAATTAAATTAAATTTATGCTTCCTTTTGATCAACTCTTAGGGTCAAGCCAGTTGTGTTTCAAGAGTTCGATGGAAGAACACCGAGCTAGTGCTCTTAGTGAAAACGTGGTACAGTTTCACAATGTTGGCTCAAGGGATGGATGTGAAGCTCCGCATAAATGGTCATCCCCTGGAGGAGGAAAGAAAATAGACTTGAAAAAACAGATCTTCTGCAATAGATCGTTGAACATGAGAAACATCATTGCAGTAGGCTTTGATATGGACTACACTCTTGCCCAATACAAGTCTGAAACTTTTGAGTCCCTTGCTTATGAAGGAACTGTCAGGAAATTGGTTTATGATTTGGGGTATCCAAGTGAGGTTAGTATACTATATTGCTGTTTTAAGGTTCTGACCTGCAGAAAAGTATGATTTATTGTTAATACTTGCTGTGGTTAAAAAAATTCCAGCTGCTAGAGTGGACGTTTGATTGGAATTACATGGTTAGAGGCTTGGTGCTAGACAAAAAGAGGGGAAATATCTTAAAGGTGAACACCTCGACCCTTGTATTGGATTGGACTCTCACAATAATTGTTTGAATATTTTCCTAATTGGCTGTTGCTCATACAGATGGATCGCCACAAGTATGTGAAAGTAGCTTACCATGGGTTTAAGGAGCTCTCTAAAGAAGATAAAGTTGATATCTATGGCAGCAGCCTAATACAAGATTCTTTTGATGAGCCCGACTACGCTCTCATAGATACCCTATTTTCTTTGGCCGAAGCCTATCTCTTTGCGCAACTTGTTGATTTTAAAGATAATAACCCAGAAAAGATTCCCAAGGACGTTGAGTAAGTCTATTCCCCATATTTATTACTGTTTTGTATTCTATATAGTCTCTAATAAAGTATACATTGTAGTATTGTTAGCTGTTACTCTGTAACTTATACTTGGCATGATTTTTTCTTTTAAATGTATCACTAATTTGTTCCTTCGCACATGGTTTTCTTTAGTTATGCTCGTATGTATAAAGATGTTCGGGCTGCTGTTGATTTGTGCCACCGTGATGGAACTTTGAAGCAGATGGTAGCAAAAGAACCTAATAGGTAAAGCTGATGGTATGTTCTCTTCAGTCTTCCTTTTGACATAACTCATTTGGACTTGCCTTTTTATCAGGTATATCAACGAGGATACTACGATTGTACCACTTATAAAAATGATAAGAGATTCTGGACGTTCTACATTCTTGGTGACCAATAGGTAATGCTAATGATTTATTACAAACCCCATAAAGTTATTTGTGCATATATTGTAGCTTCACAGTCGATTTAACTTTTTAAATGACTACATGCTCCAAAGTTTAACGTAAGAAACTTCAACCATTGTAACCGGTTCTCCTTCCCTTGTAACATAATGTGGTACTTAAGATTCAATAAAATATCTGTAAAATCTTCCTATGTGACAGTTTCAGCATTAATGATTTCTTAACGTCTGTCATTATATAGTCAGTTTTTCTCTTAGATTTTCGAATAACATTGTTGCAGTTTGTGGGACTACACAAACATTGTGATGAATTTTCTCTGTGGAGGGCGCACAGTACAAGGTCCTCATACTTGCAACTTCGATTGGCTCCAGTATTTTGATGTTGTGATCACTGGCAGGTCTTTTCCTTCCCTAAAGTCTCTTTAATCTAATGCTCTGAATAAAATATTGGTGATAAGAATATTTATGTGTTATTGGTTATCAATCTGTACATAACTTTTTGTTTCTGGAACTATTCTCCTCGGTGCTAACTGAATTGTATCTTTTTGTTTCTTTTTGAAGTGCAAAGCCTGGCTTCTTCCATGAAGAGAGTCGTGCCAACCTTTTTGAGGTGGATCCTCAGTCTGGAATGCTTATTAATACTGATAACGGAACACCTATGCCTCAGGTTTGACATAACGATCCTTGTGTATCTAACAAATGTACTTCTTATGCAAATGATCCTTGTGTATACCGTTACAATGGTTTTTTGTTTTCTTGAAAGGTGGGAGATCCTTCACCAAAAATTTTACTGAAGAGTAAAGATAAAGGTTGTCGAGTTTTTCAAGGTGGAAATGTTGGGCATCTTCACAGTTTGCTCTCTATTGAGTCAAGTTCACAGGTATTTTTCACTAGCTTATCCCACTCTCGAATCGATTAGAAACATCAGTACCATGCCATGCATCTGTTGTCACTTATTCAGCTATTCGATCTTATTAGGTTCTTTATGTTGGTGATCATATATACGGTGATATCTTGCGCAGCAAAAAAGTACTTGGTAAGGTCTTCTTTTCCAATTCTAGACTGTTCTTTTTTTGTTGTAAAGTAACTTCAACGAATCTTCATGGGTTTAATTGAGCTATGCAGAGAATAAGAATATGGTTGGTTAGGCCCCTAACACCTTATGACTGATAAGCTTAGCATCTAAGTATGCTAGAAACAGTCTTTTGTCACTCAAAATAGTATCATAAACTGGTGAAAAGTGTATTTGCTTGTGAAAGCTACTTGCAGCTTAATTTTTTTCATTCTTCAGGATGGAGAACTATGCTTGTTGTTCCAGAACTAGAAAAGGAGGTTGAACTTCTATGGGAACTGAGGGATATGCGAAAGGTGGTTGGAACCTCTCATTCTCTGCTCTATGTTATTAATATAAGAGAGATGATTTTGTGATTAGGATCACCAGCAGCTAAAGATCTGATAAATTATTTTTGGTTTGCAGCAACTTATTTTGATGAGGAATGAGCGTGATTCAGTTGAAGACAAAATCCATCACTTGAACTGGTCCCTAAAGTGAGTGTTCTTTTAAATTAGGATTTACACCAAAGAAAGATGCAGTACACAGATTAGAATGATAAGCATCCACTTTCTCAGAACTTGTATGTTTTGTATGTGTAACCAATCATACTGTTCAGGTTTGAAGATATTAACGAGAATGATAAGAAGGAAATGTTATCAGCGCTCAAAGACTTGGAGGTAAAATAGAATATGTGCAACCCCTTAATATTTCATTAGTTGCATTGTTGTTTTAATTTCAGTCTTATGTTTTTTGGTGGGATCTAATAGTCTAAAAGAGATCAAGTACGCCAAAGTCATCAACAAGCTCAAAGAGAAAATCACCAAAAGGTAAATGTTGTGTACAAGTGCAACAACTAGTATTAGTTCCAATCTGTTAGAAACTACTCATGTCTTGGGTTATGGTTACTACAGTTTCACAAGGTCTGGGGGCAACTTATGAAAACTGGTTACCAGAGTTCTAGATTTGCTCACCAGGTATACAACGTTTTATATTTTTGCTTTCATATGTGGCAGCTAGAGTGCTTTTCATTTGTGAGGCATTGATTTTGAAAACCCTTTTTCTTTCAAATCAGGTTGAAAGATTTGCATGCCTGTACACAAGCCAAGTCTCTAATCTTCGCTTGTATTCACCAGACAAGTACTACAGACCAAGTGAAGACTTCATGTCCCATGAGTTTCATCTTCTTCCTATGGATTGATGGATCAGTGAGATTTGTTAAAGAAAGATTATGCTCTTAAGTCACACAGTATATCAAAGTATTGGTTTGTTGCCTATTCTTATTGTCTATAAGCTTCATTTATCTCTTCTTACGCATGTGTTTCAGTTTCAATTGGCACAAAAACAACAAGAAGTTTGAGAATTTAATGAAAATGTTTTCCATTGTCATTTGTTCTTGTTTTCTTTGTAAACTCTTGGGCCACCAGCAGACCCAAATCAGTTTATTTGTCAATCACTCTTGTTAACATCTTCCTTATCATCTTAAACTCCGTTTATTTAGTTCATGGAACATCCCCTGGAGGAGGAAAGAAAATCGACTTAAAGAAACAGATAATAGATCGTTGAACATGAGAAATATCATTGATATAGGCTTTGATATGGACTACACTCTTGCTCAATACAAGTCTGAAACTTTTGAGTCCCTTGCTTATGAAGGAACTGTCAAGAAATTGGTCTATGATTTGGGGTATCCAAGTGAGGTCAGTATACTATATTGCTGTTTTAAGGTTCTGGCCTGCAGAAAAGTTTGATTGATTGTTAATACTTGTTGTGGTTTAAAAAAATCCAGCTGTTAGAGTGGACGTTTGATTGGAATTACATGGTTAGAGGCTTGGTGCTAGACAAAAAGAAGGGAAACATCTTAAAGGTGAACACCTCGTATTTGATTGGACTCTCATAATAATTGCTGCCCCTTATTGACGGCTGGTTATGCATGCAGATGGATCGCCACAAGTATGTGAAAGTAGCTTACCATGGGTTTAATGAGCTCTCTAAAGAAGATAAAGTTGATATCTATGAAAGCAGCCTAATACAAGGTTCTTTTGATGAGCCCGACTATGCTCTCATAGATACCCTCTTTTCTTTGGCCGAAGCCAATCTGTTTGCGCAACTTGTTGATTTTAAAGATAATAACCCAGAAAAGATTCTCAATGAATTGAGTAAGTCTATTTCCCTATTTGTTACTGTTTAGATAGTCTCTAGTCTCCACAAAAGTATATGCTATGCTTATGGTTTTGATATTGTTAGTGGGCACTCTGTAACTTATGCTTGGCATGATTTTTTATTTTAAATGTATCACTAATTTGTTCCTTCGCACATGCTGTTCTTTAGTTATGCTCGCATCTGTTGTCACTTATTCAGCTATTCGATTTTATTAGATTCTTTACGTTGGTGATCATATATACGGTGATATTTTGCGCAGCAAAAAATGTACTTGGTAAGGTCTTTTTTTCCAATTCTAGATTGTTCTCTTTTTTGGTAAAGTAATTTCAGCAAATGGGTTTAACTGAGCTATGCAGAGAATAAGAATATGGTAGGTTAAGCCCCTAACACCTTATGACTGATAAGCTTAGCATCTAGGTAGGCTAGAAACACTCTTTTGTCACTGAAAATAGTATCATAAACTGGTGAAAAGTGTATTTGCTTGTGAAAGCTACTTGCAGCTTAATTTTCTTCATTCTTCAGGATGGAGAACTATGCTTGTTGTTCCAGAACTAGAAAAGGAGGTTGAACTTCTATGGGAACTGAGGGATATGCGAAAGGTGATTGGAACCTCTCATTCTCTGCTCTATGTTATTAATATAAGAGAGATGATTTTTGATTAGGATCACCAGCCGCTAAAGATCTGATAAATTTTTGGTTTACAGCAACTTATTTTGATGAGGAATGAGCATGATTCAGTTGGAGACAAAATCCATCACTTGAACTGGTCTCTAAAGTGAGTGTTCTTTTAAATTAGGATTTACACCAAAGAAAGATGCATTACACATATTAGAATGATAAGCATCCACTTTCTCCAAATTTTTATGTGTAACCAATCATACCATTCAGGTTTGAAGATATTAACGAGAATGATAAGAAGGAAATGTTATCAGCGCTCAAAGACTTGGAGGTAAAATAGAATATGTGCAACCCTTTAATATTTCATTAGTTGCATTGTTGTTTTAACTTCAGTCTTATGTTTTTTTTTGGGATCTAATAGTCTAAAAGAGATTAAGTAAGCCAAAGTCATCAACAAGCTCAAAGAGAAAATCACCAAAAGGTAAATGTTGTGTACAAGTGCAACAACTAGTATTAGTTTCAATCTGTTAGAAACTACTCATGTCTTTGGTTATGGTTACTACAGTTTCACAAGGTCTGGGGGCAACTTATGAAAACTGGTTACCAGAGTTCTAGATTTGTTCACCAGGTATACAACGTTTTATATTTTTGCTTTCATATGTGGCAGCTAGAGTGTTTTGCATTTGTGAGGTATTGATTTTGAAAATTGTTTTTCTTCCAAATTAGGTTGAAAGATTTGCATGTCTGTACACAAGCCAAGTTTCTAATCTACGCTTGTACTCACCAGACAAGTACTACAGACCCAGCGAAGACTTCATGTCCCATGAGTTTGATCTTCTTCGTATGGATTGATGGATAAGTGAGATTTGTTAAAGAAAGACCATGCTCTTAAGTCAGATAGTATATCAAAGTATTGGTTTGGTGCCTATTCTTATTGTCTATAAGCTTCATTTATCTCTTCTTACGCATGTGTTTCAGTTTCACTTGGTGTAAAAACAACAAGTTTGAGAATTTAATGAAAACGTTTTCTATTGTCATTTGTTCTTGTTTTCTTTGTAAACTCTTGTGCCACCAGTAGACCCAAATCAGTTTACTTGTCAACCACTCTTGTTAATGTCTTCCTGATCACCTTAAACTACATTTACTTAATTCATTGTACATTCTAAACTCAGTTTTGGTGTAAGAGAATAAACTTACGAACTTAAAGCTATGGATTCAGTTCCTGTAAAACTGTAAATGGCTGCTCCAAGAGAAAAAGCAGAAACTATGTTTGATGTTTTAGACAACCTTCTCGCCAACACAGAGATTAAACTAAAGGATATTAAATTCACATTGTGAATTGTAGTCTCTTTAACATAATAGCACCTTCATTATCTGCAATGATTGTGAACAAACCCAAGTTAAGAGGTAACATCAACAGCGTTTACGTTGGTGGAATGGGTTGTTGTCTTTGTGTGAAGAGTTTGATCAAATTACAAAAAGCTTGAATGTGTGTTCATATACATTGAACATAAGATTATTGACACACAACGTTGAACATACAAAAAAAAAATATTGACACACAACAAACAAACAAATTTTAGTAACTTCTCAGCCCAATTAACAGTTGGAAAAATCTCTGTTTCTTCTTGTCCGTGGCCAAAACAGAGAGGAAGACAAAGAATGAAAGTTTGTTTTGAGTGTTTCTTATCTGAACATGGCTTGAAGTTCTTCAAGCGTTCTCCCTTTGGTCTCAGGAACCCACAGAGTCACGAAAACCACCGTGAATGCACAAACCAACGCGTATAGAGTGAAAGTTCCTGTTCAAAGTCAACCAAAACCTCATCAAGAAATGTTCTATCGTGTTTCATGGTGACAGAGAGAAAAGAGAAAGAGGGTGAGGGAGAAACCTCCACTGCTCCAGGCTAAGAGCAAGTTTGCAGTCATGGTGATCAACCAGGAGATGAACCAATTTGCTAAAGTAGCTATACTTCCAGCTAAACCCTTTATGTTCACAGGAAGGATCTATTTACAAAAAAAAAACAACAAATGATGGTTTAGTGAAGTTTTTTTCCGCTTTTCTCAGTTCTTACAACACTTAGTTCTAACTTTTAATCAACTAGATACCTCAGACATAATGAGCCACGGAATTGGTCCCATTCCCAATGAGAAAGAAACAACCATTGCCTGTAATGATTCAACCGAGTTAAAGCAAAGATAGCAATAGCTCATTGCCTCAAGAAAGTTTAAATATAACAAACTTACCACTACTCCAACTACTGACAAGATGCTCAGCATACTGTACATTTCTGAATCATGAGACACAAATTCCTAAACAAGAGATGTAAAGAAAAACTCATAATGTCAAATACTGAGTTTGTTGCAGAAGATTAAATTTAGTGTTTAGGGAAGTTAGAACTTTATAAAGTACCTTGAGATAGAACGCAGCTGCAACAATCACTAGGCTTATCGTCATCCCAACAGAAGAGATCTACAAAAACATTTCCATTTTCCTTATTATTAGTTAATCTTGGGTCTTTCTTTAATTTCGTCTCTAGACAAAAGTTCTAAAGATATGAAATAATACTCACGGTAAGAAGAAGCCGACGACCTGCTTTGTCCACCAACCATGTGGATACTGCAGTCGCCACTACCTGAATAGCACCGACCCCAAATGTTGCTGCGTTACTTGATGTAACTCCTATAAATGAAAAAATAATTGTCAATGTAATGTAATAATATGAAACAAGAAGCATCAAGTGTTCTTTAGAGCAAGGGCCTACCTGCAGATTCGAAGATTGTACTGGAATAGAATAGGACGCCATTAATTCCACCGAGTTGTTGAAGTACAAGCAACCCTATACCAACCTATTAAACACGCACACACAAAGAAACAGAGTTTTAAGATAATGTTTGTTATGGTAAACAACGTATCTTCCAAGGGGAATAATATATAATGTTTGTACCATAAGTGGGAAATAGTATCTCCTGCGCTTGAGATCGACAATCCGAACTGTAGATGATCGTTTTGTTGATGTTCCCACAGATCTCTGCACATATAATGCAGAAAATATGAAAAACAAAGCTTTTGAAAGTCAATCACAGAAGGAAACATTCTCAGTGGTGATATTACCTTGATTTCATTAACCTCAACGGTAATATCAGTCTCAAATCCTCTAAGAACTTGCAATGAAGTTTCAAAATCATCAGTCATACCCATTTTTGCCTACAATTCAAAGCAAAGAATCCCATAAGAGTGGATTAACCAAAAATATGCACCAACTCAAAGATAGATAAGCGAGGCGTACCAGCCAACGAGGGGACTCAGGAATGAAAAAGAGACCCGGTATCAATACTATGCATGGCAATGTCCCTAAGGATAAAGGAAGACAACAGAGGAAGTGATTAGAGCATTTTGATGAGTCATAATCATAAAACTGGTTTCAGGCTTTGTGTAATGAGATTTACCCAAAACTGCAAGGATTCTCCATGGAACAAAGAGTCCAAGTAAATAAGCCAACATTATTCCAATTGTCACAGAAAGCTACAGCCAAAAAGTTAAGCAACATCTAATGTTTAGCACTAAGAATCTATTTCATAAAATGCAAAAGAAGAATCAGTCAGCTAGGCGTGACGAACCTGGTTAACAGAACCCAATCCTCCCCTCATATTCTGTGGAGCAATCTCAGCAATATATACAGGCACCTAAAACCACGAACCAAGTTTCATAAACTCACTAAAACGCGACATTATATTAGCAAAACAACTAGGGTGAGTTCGGTATTACTGTGTAAGAGATGATGCCAACGCCAAAGCCTTCCAAAAGTCTTCCCATGTAAAGAAAAGAAGTATCCTACAAAACCAGAGTGATGTAAGGAGATAAGGTCAATCTAAAATCACCAGAGTTCTATTTGACTTAACTAAATGAAACTAGAAAATACTCACTTCTGCAAATGAGATGCAAAGCCAGCCAATGATATTTGGAATGGCAGCAATCATCAGAGACTGTCCAAGAAACACACACAATAACGAGATTATCAAATGGATCAAAACAGAACAATTCAAGAAACAGCAAAAACACAAAGTATACCCCTTTTCGTCCAATGTATTCAGCGATCTGACCACTAGCAATTGCACCAACCATAGCACCCACATTGGACAGAGAACCAAAGATAGAGTACTAAGCATCCAGAAAAAAAAACATCAAAAGTCAAACACGATCAAACAAGACACAACACAGCAGCTCTAGACAGAGGATCGTTCTTAATACCTCAGATACAGTCAAACCAAGATCCTTGGTGATTGCAGCTTGAGTTGGAGAAGAATAACCACACTGAACAAAAATATGTATAAAGTCTCAAACTTTCTAAAACAAACGAACAAGAAAAAGGTGAGATTTTTCAAATACTTACAGTGAATCCGAATTGAATAGGACCAAGAGCAATGATCAAGACACAAGCAAGAACAGAGATGGAGTTGTCTTTGATAACTTGAGACGAACCCATCATGCTTGATTGTCTTGAACCCATACGGTACCAACTTCCCGTGTGTATAAAAGGTCGTCGCAGATCATTCCTGGCCTCCTCTGTATCATCCCTCGAACTCATCTTTTGATTACAATCTCTAACACTCTCAAAATCTACAATCTTTTCTTATCAAAGCTTCAAGATTTCGTCTCCTGACGAAGTAAAATGCCGATTCTAAACGAGGAAAAAGTCAACAAAAGAAAAAACTAATGTGGACTTGTGTTCGATTTAATAGAAGAAGGGATTGAGAAATGTCGTGTTATATAAGAAAAGGAAGAAAAGGAAGAGAATGTGAGGGGTGTATATGGCGGTGATGTAGTGATGGTTTGCTGAGAGAGACAGAGAGGGAGAGGAGACTGCTTCAGACAGTTTGTTTTTTTTAGATCGCATACTGTCTACGCATAAACCAGATTTAGACAAAAGAAAGGTCTTCTTTTTTTTTGTTCAAATGACAAAAGAAAGGTCTATGTGTGGATAATGGATATAAATTTTTTATGTATAATTCTTCTTACAGAAACTAAAAGAGAAATACATTAAGATAGTAATAATACTCCTTTTGTTCAAATAATACCAATCTAAGCCTCTAGGCTATAAGGAGAAACATTTCTAAAAATATCACTAATTAAACAATTTATTTTATATTTTTAGTGATTAAGATGTTGATTTATACTTAGAGGGTGGAATGAGATTATGATTTAGAAATTAGATTAATTTTCAAAAAAAATACTTGTCAAATGAGTGTTATTTTGAGAATTTTTACTATTTTGAGGAAGTTTTAAGAAATCTTATTTTGGAGATTTTTCCAAAATTCAAATATATACCCAGTAAATTATGCAGAAAATAGATGATATGCTGGCAATAAATTAATTACTGAATTTGTAATATCCCGGATAATGCTATCCAGTTTTCAAAGGCCAGCAAAATTTGCCATCAAAATATATGTTTTCTCGTCAACTGATCCATATATTAAATTAGACTAGGTGCACTTGACGGTTATCTGGAGCAGGCAGTCTAAAATAAATAGTTTTGTATCCTCTTTTTGTAAGTGAATTGAGACGATGTGAACTGTGAGAACTTATATATAAACCGAAATTACCAAACAGATTTCAAAGATTACTAAAAGGTCTGGTCGTAACTTAAAAGAACTAAAGCTTTACTGAATTTTAGCCATTTTAACAAATCCAAAGAGTTTGTTTTCAATCTAACCACTTACGTTACAGTTATCATGTTTATAGGTTAAACATTGTCCAAAAAGTCATACAACTCTGCATGTAGTATATATATCGGTAAGCTCTTACGACATCTTTGCACTTCGAATATTCCATGTTATATCTTTTTTTTGTTATTTCATAGACACTTTCCCAGAACTATCCTGTCCATAGTTTATCCAGGAAGCATGGATAATGACAATGGCTGACAAAAAAAAAAGGATAATGACAATGTCAAGGATTAGGCATATTATTAGAGATTTTCCACTTTTTGCGTTTTTTAGTTCACATTCCTCTAGGTTTTCTAGAAAGAGGACTAAAAATTTGATATCAACCTTTGAATTTTTTTTTTTAAGTATTGTTTGTCTTGCATATAACTATAAGTATATGGTCTAATATATTATTTGGGTCAGAGAAACCCTATTTTTTGGGCAAAAAAACACAGATGTACTCAGAAATTTGTCTACATACGTTAGCCAGGTTATCATCTTTAAAGATTATAGACTTGGGATTAAATCAAAACTGTTTCTTTTTTTCTTTTCTAGTTTGCTGTTTGGTAGAAAGAAATAAAAGAATAAAAACAAACTAGAGAAACGTGAGCTAATAAGAGGTAGTCAGAAAAAAAAAGAGAGTATCATATCATATCACACCAAACACGTCTTGTGATCTGATATTACTATCTCCATATCACCACGATCTAATCTTTTTTGTTGACCACAAATATTATATATCTGGACACTGTTCAGAACATTGATCAAGTCTTTTGTTTCCTCCTCGTTCCTCACATGTACAATAGTCCTTCCCATCGTCATTACATATTTTATTCTTTATTCCTTATTATAAAATTAAACATTACTCCGTTAAATCTCAAATGAAATGAAAACAATAGATCAAAGACTCTTGAAAAAGTATTCAATTGTTATTTATCTCTCAAAGAAATGGTATAACACAAGCTTTCCAGTTTCGGCTTATTCAATACTCATCACCCAATTATTATTTTTTTGGTTGACCACAAAGTTAAACATTACTCAGTTAATTCTCAAATTATATGAAAACAATAGTAGATCAGCGACTTTTTCCTCTAGTTTTTAGGGAGAGATTTTAATTACCTTTTAATTACCTTGTAACTGTTTCTTTTGTAAAACCATCGGTTTTATTGTGCTCAGTTGGAGGACCCAAACAACCCAGCTTGGGCTTATTAAAGCAGACGGACCCTACCTTTAAATTATAAAGCCCATTAAGGGAACGTCGGAGCGTGAGGACCACTCTACCTAAAAAGCGCGTCAGAAAATAATCAAAGTCAATCCCAAGACAGACACATCCTCACTCCGCCGTGTCCATTCTCCGATTAGGTTTTTCGAATTCTTCTTCCTCTCTCTTCAACCAATCAAAACCCTAATCCAATCCAATTTTCAAAATGGGCGAACCTCAACCTTCTCAACCCCAATCACCCAAACCCGAAAACCCTAACCCAATCCCACCTCACAACTCCGACGACTCCGCCTCCATCTCCGGCTCAATCGTCTCATCAACCACAATCGAAACCCCAAGAATCACCGACCTAACCAACGTCTCCTCCCCTCCTTCCAAAATCCCACTCCGTCCTCGCAAAATCCGAAAACTTTCTCCTTCTCCCAACAAGACGTCACCAAGACCTTTCAAACCATCGAGGATCCACGCAAAGTCTCTAACTTGCGAAGGAGAGCTCTCCGCAGCGATAACCCATCTCCGCACCGTCGACCCTCTCCTCTCTTCCTTAATCGACACACACCCACCACCAAAGTACGAGTCTTTCACCACTCCCTTCTTAGCCCTAATCAGAAGCATCCTCTACCAACAGCTAGCCGCTAAAGCCGGGAACTCAATCTACACACGCTTCGTCTCCCTCTGCGGAGGCGAAAACGGCGTCGTTCCGGAGAACGTCCTCCCCTTGACGCCTCAGGAGCTTCGTCAGATCGGCGTCTCCGGGAGGAAAGCGAGTTACCTCCACGATCTCGCGAGGAAGTATCAGAACGGGATCTTGTCGGATTCTGGGATTGTGAGCATGGATGATAAGTCTCTGTTCACGATGCTGACGATGGTTAATGGGATTGGGTCGTGGTCGGTTCATATGTTTATGATTAACTCGCTTCATAGGCCTGACGTGTTGCCTGTTAATGATCTTGGTGTGAGGAAAGGTGTGCAGATGCTTTATAACTTGCCGGAGGTGCCACGTCCTTCGCAGATGGAGGGTCTTTGCGAGAAGTGGCGGCCGTATAGGTCTGTTGGGTCTTGGTACATGTGGCGGCTTGTTGAAGCTAGAGGGACGCCGTCTAGTGCTGCGGTGGGGAGTTCAGGTGGTGATATGTCGTTTCCACAGTTGGAAGAGATGCAACAGCAACAGCAACAACAACAACAGTCTCAGCTTTTGGACCCTCTTAGTGTGTTCAGTATCGGGTAATAGTCAGCTTACTTTATCACTGCTTGGTCTTTGCCCTTAAGTTAGATATAGCAATTACTGGAGTTCTTGTCTCCTAAAGTTAATCTAAGTGCTTCAAAGTATTTAACGTGCACTGTCGATGTAATGTCAAGGGGATTGTGGTGGAGATAGGTTTTAATTTGACTTTTCATATAGAACACTTCACACTTGTAACGAGCTTACAAGTCACATGAGAAAGTACCATAGTTTTGTGGACCTTTGGATGTTCAAGAATAGTGTTTATGCATGGAATGTGTATTGAGGTTGGTTTTCGTGGCTGGATAGGCTTATCAGCTTTTGATATTATTATGATGTGGAGCCCTTTTGTTTATCTTCATCTAGTCCGCGTGTTTCAAACGGAATCACATGTGCGGCAGTTAAAGCCGGTACTAAAACAAGATGAGTTTGAAGAAGATGGACACTAGGGCTTCTAATATTTGGTATTAATGTTTCACATTGTCACGTTAAAAAGTGGAAACTCTAGTGAAAGTGAATAGCTTGCAGTGGTTTTAGGCGTTTAGCTATCACTAACATAATAAGTGGAGCTTTTCTAACCCAAGTCTTTATTTTCTGTAATGCTGAATACTTGGTTTGTAAATTAAGGAGTAATTACAGTGATCACGAAGTTGTTGATACGTTAGTCTTCTTATGTGGTTCCTATTGTGTACTTAACAGGGCGTGGGGCCAAACGTAGCTGGCTTGATACCACAAGCTGTTGTCTTCCATGGCGTTAGAGGGATTCATGTTCTAGTCTTCAGCTACTGTCAGGTGAAAAGGTCGAGTGTTCTGCTGTGAAGAAATAAGAATAAAGCAGTTACTTTTGTAGGTTGGGTTTCTTTTTTTTTTGAAAGAATTGTAGGTTGGGTTTCTTAAGACACGAAACTGAATGACTATGCAGCAGAAATCCTCTTAGCTAAGTGAAGAGTATGTAAGTTTTAGTTTAGCTGATGAACTTTGATTTTTTGTTGTTGGAGACATAAACGTGCTGTTTAAAGAAACTCTTAATTCATCTAAAACAGATTCACGTCTTTCATTTTCTCGCTGCTAGAAAAAAAAACTATGGTTTGCTGATGAAGAAAACTCACAACAAGGTCATTGTTGTGTTGTGCTGTTAAAACACAGTAATAAAACGTACTCTCATGGAATGAAAAGAACAGTTTTGATGATACGCAATAGTAACAAAATTGAAACTATGTATAGTAAGAAGTGAGTTTTGAAAGTGAGGCATGTGAGACTGAGAAGTGAGAATACTTGAGCTCTGAATCAGTGAAGTAATAGTCCTAGTTTTTGCTACAAAATAAGTTGGCAAAACATGAGTAGAGGGCTCATAGGGACAAATCATTGCTTTCCCTTCCATTCATATCATTTTGCCAGCTAATCTTTTCTTTTATATACATATACTTTATATTCTAAATGGTTGTCTAAACAATATTCCATGAACTTAATCCCTTAAATCGCCATGTTAACTACCTTATTAACGCTTTGAATATTCATAATAACTAGGATGAGAGTTCAAACATGAAGCAAAGAGAGAGGACACCAATTGTATCATACCAAAGGAAAAGGATTCCAGTTAGCCATGTTAACTACATAATGCTACTCATTAAAATGCATTTTTATCAAACCAGATACTGGTTTAGATGATATAAATTGAATACTTCAGTGAAACCAAGTTGGTGGAGTTTTAAATTCCAATTCTCAAAATGTATCTACATCATAAAACCTACACTTTAGGCCTTGATATACACCGATTAAGTCTTCTCCTCCCAAAGCAACTTATAAGCAAATATTATAAATATTAATGGTGTCTGATGATAAGCTTGATATATAATCTTATCAAGCTTGATATTATTGTTATTTGACTTTTTTTTCTTTTTTTAACACTATTCCAATCCAATGTTCTCCAGTCTCCAGGATGCATGGAACAAATTCGGTGCAGATGAACGGTAAGTAAGATGGTGTTAACCTTTGGATCTTCCTTGACCCTGCATATCAGAACTAACAACCTCAAGAACCTAAGTTACAAGTACAGTACCAAAAGCTAAGATATGGGATGTAGACAGATCTAGATATATGTAATAACCTAAAAATATGTGTAATCCATGAGCTCGTATATATAAAACGAAGCTCATTCTTATTCTCAGCGAAACTGTCCACAGTATTATTCATCAAGATTTCTCAAACTAAAGTACAGAGTCAATGGCACACCAGCAGAGAGGTGAGAGATCTAAAGACAACAAAGGGGTTTAAAAGCCGAGCAGATGAAGCATGATCGCATTTTGAGCATGCATGCGATTCTCCGCCTGTGGGAAGACAATGGAATAAGGAGCTTCCACGACTCCATTGGTCACCTCCACTCCTCTTTCTGCAGGCAAACAGTGCATGAAATAGGCTTTTGGACCCGCCAACTTCATTAGAGCTTCATCCACCTGCAAGTTTTAACATAATAAGTGAGATATCTAAACCAGAGACAATCATATACTGTGTATATAGAATAAATATGTTACCTGGAAACCTTGGAATGCTTTACGGCGGTATTCAGCTTCATCCTTTTGCCCCATACTGGCCCAAACATCTGAGTAGACAACATCAGCTCCTATGACAGCTTCTTTAGGATCATTGATGATCTCTATCTTACTTAATCCAGCTTGTTGTGCCTTTAGAACTCTCTCTTTGTCCGGCTCAAACCCTTTTGGGCAAGCGCAGACAAAATGGAAGGGAATAACGGATGCCAATTCTAACCATGAGTGCACCATATTGTTCCCATCTCCAACATAGACAACCTGAAGTTTATTGAATCAGTGTGTAACTAAAGATATCCAAATATACAAAATATGAGATCATCATACAAGTCTAGACTAGCTGTACTTTATTTTTCCGATGATTTTGAAATGAGTAATGTTTTAGTGTCAAGATTATATGTATGGTTTTGATTCTGTTTCCTTCAGGGTTTGAGTAACATGCATCTACTGCCTAACCTAGTGCTAGAAAAAGATAAGAAAAGTACATGCTTGGCGAAAAGGTTAACATACCTTTGTCCCTTCGACTTGACCAATGTGCTCAATTATTGTGAGGGCATCGGCCATGATTTGGCAAGGGTGGTTATGATCTGTCAGACCGTTGACAACTGGTACACTCGAGTAGTTAGCCAAATCAAGAATGTCCTGCAAAATAAGTGGATTAAACATTAATTGTAGCTTTTCAAACATGAATACCAAATCGTTTCAAACATGAATACCAAGGCCACAAACAAGACACTAAAACACAAATGAGAATGCAGTTAACTTTTTATAAAGATTAGAACAAGCCAGTGTTCCATCTAGCATGTCCTTTTAAGAATCAATCAAAAACTCACCAGCATACCTGATGAGCAAACACACGGGCCATAATGATGTCATTATAGCGTGACAGAACACGAGCGACGTCGCGAGTTTCCTCTCGCTTACCCATCTGGATGTCATTGGGTCCAAGATACAAGGCATGTCCACCAAGCAAGAAAAAGCCAGTCTCAAAGGAAACACGAGTCCTCATAGACGGTTTTGCAAAGATCATAGACATAGACTTCCCTTTAAAAGGAAGATAGTCTCTCTCCCCTGACTTCAGCAAGGCTTTAACCTCTGAAGCCTTGTCTAGAATCTTTTTGATGGTCTCTGTGTCAAAATCATCTATGGCCAGAAAATCTTTCAGATCAGATTTCCCTGCAGAAACAGACAAACATATTGATTATTTTACAGACAGGTGCTGACTTCCGACAACAACAAATGCATGTTCTACCAGATAATGGTTCTGTAATAAAACATCATGAAATTGAAAGATTAATCTCAATCAATAAAAACCACATTTTTTTTATTTAAGTACGCTAGCATCGGAATCTGGTAACGAAAGATCGAACCTTTGACATCGGAAGTAGAAGGGGAAGTGACGGAGGAGGCTTGGCAGGAGACACGGAGGCGAAGGGAGGAGAAACTCGCCGGAGAAGCGAGTGAGACGGTGGAGAATCGCCTGAGAGTCGTACCGGGGAAGAAGGACGATGGAGAGAAAAGGGAAAGAGCCGGTGATCGGGAGGTAGAGACGTGAGAAGCCATAGCCGCCACCATTGTCGTAATTTGGGTTTTGACTCTTCTTCAGTGACACTCTGCTTTACCTTATTGCGGCAGAGGAGACACTCTTGTTATTGGGCCTCCTTAAGGCCCATATGCATGTTTTACCAGACAAATTGTTTACTTACACTCAGTCTGGGCCTCAAAATCATATTTTATATTCAACTTCATTTTTTTGTCAGTGTTTTGTTTAAATTTCTTTTCTTTTATAGACGACAACTTCATATTTCTTGTTTTGTTTTTTCAGAACTCAACGTTAAGTTGAATCTTAATTAATCTCATAATGTTGACAAAGACAAATAATTAATCAAAATATTGATCTTTAAACATCTTTATCTTTTATTAAGAAAATTTATTAAAATGTTAAAACTTAGGAATTGTAGGGCTTTACCCCGAAGGGAGCCCTTCCAGAAATTCTCGAAGGCCCAAGACAAGCTTAGGCCCAGGAGGGGGTTTGGAAATAGTTTTCAACCAGCAATAGACGCGCCTCGGTTAGTACCTCATTAGCTGCGTCATTGCCCCAAGCGCAAAGATGCTTTTCGAAGGAGCACGCGAGACTTTATTTATAGCGCAAGTTTTTGAGTTTCAGACGTTTCACAACCGATGTGGGACAAAATACAGGCATCATTTAAGACACGCAACCAGGCTTTATAGATCTTGGGCCTCAGAAACTGGACCTATAAAAGTTTAACTTCAAGCTGATTTTTCGTTTTTTTGTTAAAATTATTTAATTTTCCTTTCACAAGTAAAATCGTTTTTTCCGTCTTTGTTAATCTCTTCTCTTCTGTTGGCTACTTTTGTCCACCTACTACAGTGTCTTCGGTTGTTTTCATGATTTTTTAATAAACATGGAATATAGCAAATTGTAATTCTAACTGGTGATATACATCATCACGTATACTTGAATTCTATACATTGTATATTATCATATCGACATTATGTATAATTCTTTAAAAGAAGAAATATATTTTATTTTGCGTTCAATATCAATTTAAACCAAAACCAATAAAATATAACGGTTTCTTAAATTTTGATTGCGTTTAATCACCAAAAAAAAAATCAGATTACATGCGCATCTATCTATATTCTGTAAAATAGTCATGTGTTTATCTCATATGTAATGTAAGTAGGTATGTGAATCTCACTTATAAAAAAGTAAAGTGAAATAAAAATCGAACAAGATTCATTTTAAAGAGTTGGAAAAGAAAATCTGAAAAGCTCTAACTCTTGAATAGAAAATTTTCACTTAAAACACAAACAAATTCTACACATTGTAAATTATGATATTGACATTATGTATAATTATTTAAAAAAAGAAATATACTTTATTTTGCGCTCGCTATGGGATGGAGGGTAAATAATACTCCACATATGAACACGGCTCTTTCGATGATTTCAATTCTCCCTCTCTCGGTTATTGGTTAGGCTACAAAACCAACCGAAATTTGGTTAATGGGCTGATTTTCTGTTGACTCAAAGTGTTTAACAAACTCGGCTGGTTTAGGAGAATAATTAAGTTATGACTGTAGATGGTAGGGACCGCGCGGACGCAGGCCCCCTCTGCCACAAATAATGACGCAGGCTCTTCCTCGTGGGAAGACCTTAGGCTAAGCACACCTCCTTAGTGCAATGGAGGTCACTAGCCTAGGCCACTCGTCTTCTTGATCACGAGTCGACCCCGTCCAGGTAAGTACCTTACTCGTTGCACCAAGGTGTCTTTTTTATACTCGGCTTTCCCAAACAACTATTCTTATTTAATCGATGTGGGACGTAATTATAAAGACACATCGTGCTGTTTGTAACTCCTGATATCAAACAACGTGCTGGTCTTACAGTTATTTGAACGGCAGGCCTTTTTGTGTAATAGACATGGGCCAAAAGCTCAATACCCAGCTACAGTTTTTGGTTTTCCCTTTTCTTTAGACATTGCTTTTGCACCCTTGAAATTGTTTCATTATAATTTTTTTACCCCAAGTATTTTATGCATATCATTTTGTGTTTATCTGTTCACTCTCTCTTATGCTTAACAATCATAACACAATTAGCATTTAGCTGTGTGAGCTTGAAAATTGGTCAAATTTCATATTCGTATGCATTTAAAACTTTTTTTTTGTAATTTGTAAGCACATTATCCATACATATTAATTTATGTAAGTAGAAAATGTCATGTGCATGATAATGCTCAATTCAAATTACTCATGAGATGAGAGAAAATGGTCTCTGATATGAATAAAGATATACGATGAATATCTACTGAACATAGTCTTCCGGAACTTCCCCCAAAAGTATCAAATCTTTTGCCTATGAGACCTCAAATTTGGTATGTAAAACATTGTTCTATCATATGGTGTATACAAACATACCAACATACTCACAAAGCAGAGTTACCACCACCATTTCTCATAAACTAGTAATCCAAGCTCTCTCTCTGTCTCTTCACCAGCACAACTTCTTTTTCTGCTTTTCTCAACAACAAAAGGACATCTTTAGCTATTAATTCAAACTTTTGGGTGAAAAAAAAACTGAGAAGTGATGATAATATATATACCCGATGGTACTTCTCATCTTCTTCCCGGTCTATGTAAGCCAAAAGATCATCCTGTCTCATTAAAGCCTCATGTAAAGCCTGAAAGAGAGTTTGATTTTAATACACAACAAAGACATTTCCTTTTATATCTATCAATGTAAAGAAACTAACATGGAACTGAGAGATGTTTTTCTTACCTTTTTTGTAGCAATGAGTTCTGCTTCAAGCGCGTCCACACGATAGACAGCTGTATTAAGCAACTCTTCTTTCTCACGAGGCATCTCATGTCGCTTTGAGTGCAGTGTTTCCACCTGTTTCTCGAGATCTCCTAGTCTATTCACAACAGAAGCAACGAGGTTTCTCTCTCTGACAGTTGAATAAACAGGTGAAGGAGGACGAGACTCTCTAGCGATTGGTTCGTCAACTGAAGATTCGGACTGAGAATTTTCTTTACTCTGTGGCAGAGCCGCCACAGATGTGAGAAACGTAAACAAGTATACAAACAATGCGGTTAGCCACCTGAAGACATGACTAACCGGTCCTAACTTTCCCAAACCGGGTGTATCCTTGTGGCCTGCACCAACACATTCCATTACAATGCGACTTTTCATTACATATTTTAGTATTTGGTTTCAAGTATTTTACCTTCTGGAGTCTTTGGCTTCTCATTGGCCATCCAAGCAACATCCACAACTTTATCCACCATTGGTGAGTCATACTCTGATGAATCAGTAGGATATGATCTACCATTGGTCCTAATCTGCAACTAAGGTCAGGAAATCAAGTAAAATGCTACTCTAATTTCACTAAGGTACAACAAAAACTCTTACATCTTCGCAAACAGGAGTCAACTTGGGAACATGACTCTCCTTGTTTGCTTTTGGAGAAGCCATCTCTTCTAACTCAGAGCTTGATTCCGCTGTTGAGGTGTCACCAACTTTATGATACGTGGGGGTATTAAGGCCCATCAAGATATGAGTTTGGGCCTCGTTATTATGGAACCTAACCTAAGTAGTCATGGGAGTATAAAGGAGACGTGAGAGTGAAAGAGAGGATTTATCAAGAGTTTGATCAAGTCATGTTCATGGAGAGAGGAGAGACTCTATAATTTCTCTCGAACCTTGTAAACACTTATCTATTTTATCAGTATAATCAGTATTTCCTTTTGATAATCTCTGTTCTACAATTTTAGATACTTAAATCGTATCACTTTAATCTGAGCCAAAGGCGACAATATTGTTACCTTAAGAAATTATCAAATACATGTTAAGCATCGAAGTAAAGACTATTACCCCAGAAAAAGATGGCTTATCACACGAGTCCATACGAGAACCACTGTTTAGAATAGATGCATGTCTGCAGAGGGTGCCACCACTTTGAACCATCTACAGGTGGGAGATCAGTTAGATACATAGCTTACTCCATTTTTGTGTTAATCACACACAGAGTAAATAGTAAGTTATGGAAGATAGAGTTACACTTAATATCTCAGGGTCTTTCCAGGGACCTTTATCAGATCTCATACAACCACCTTCATCAGCACATGTGCAAGTGCCACCAAGAAAATCTGGCAGCTGACTGAACAAGTTCCAAATATGGTTAGGAAGTTAAACTATGTTTGGAGTCATGAGAAACAAAACAAGGAAAAAAACCTGTGGACTGAGAATTATTTACCTTGCATCAATGATCTCAAGTAATTTGTTCTGGTACTTGTTACCAACAACCTGTCATATGAACACAATGACAAAGTTGAGATGGCATGAGAGTAACATAATCTTTCATATAGCGTGTGGATAAATATGTAGTAAGAAAGATATTTATACATGGATCTTTGTTACTGTTTTTGGATCAAGAAATGATTTCACCGATCCCCAAAGTAGCTTAAAACCAGGACCAGCATTGATGATGAACATGCGTTGTAGTGTCTGCGTATCACATGGTTTATATGATTAATAAAAGCCAGCCACACACGCACACACACACACAAACTTTGTCAAGGAAAACCATAGCAGCCAGGTTATACCTCAGGGTAGTTATCGTTATCAATCTTTTGCAGTTGGACTATGAGATCTCTCGCAGGCTTGGAGAAGTTCTTTAACCCCTGTAAAACATAATCATAGAATATCTAAGAAGATGCAGGACATTACTAACACTACACAAGGAAAAACAAAGACTTATCAAGAATCTAGTAGTTTTTTTTATGTACCACGCCTTGAACGTCGAGAATGGTGGTGCTAGAGTCAATGTGTCTCTTAGCAGCAATGCAGCAAGCTGGAAACTTGATACTAATAGTCTTCTCGAACTCTTTAACATGATACCTTATGTATCTTTCCAATGTTGTGACTTGCATGAGTTTTGCCGGATCGACTTTTCCTAACCTCTCAATGTAAACAGGTCTTCCTTCTTTGTCAACACCATGATAGCCTTGAGGGTAGTACCTGAGAACTTCATCCACCTCTTCAAACTCAAAATCCTACAAAACAAATAGAATAAAATAACTCCCATCAGACAAAACACAAAGACACAATAACAAAAATATGTTAAAATCATTACCTCGAGAATAGTGTCTGTACCAAAATCTTGTCTCCACTGAATCATGTTACTCCACATCAGTTTTGTTTTCCCAACATCAAACTTCCTTGCTTTCAGGAACCTGCAACATGATCTCATCATCATCTAGGAGTGTTATCTAGTACATACAAGTAGACATGGCCAAAAAAACCCAAAATCCATTATCCTATATATAAGCTGCAAAAATATAGGAATGAAATATAAACTATATCTGAACCCCAAAGTGTTATTAACTAAACCGAATTAATAACCCTAAACATTTAAAAATCCTAACTCGAAAATCCAAATTAGTATCCTAAATAAGTATTGAAAGCCTAAATAAGTATTTTAATTACGCATTTCCATGTTTATTTTAATATAATATCTAAAATGTCCGAACCAGAACCTAAATGTTCGGATTGAAAATAAGTTTTTAGATGGAAATAAAATTATATCGAACACAAAGTGTTATTATCCGAACCCGACCAAAACAAAATATAAAAACACAAATAGGGTCTGAGAGAGGTTAAACCCGAAAAAATCCGACCCAAACGAGTATCTGAACACTCATACCTATTAAAATGATAAAACTAGAGAGAGAGAGAGATGACCTCAACATGATGTGATAATCGTCAAGCTTTGGAGGAAGAAGATTCTCTGAGAGGAGTATATTCCTGAACTCATCAACAGCTCGCAGTTCCTCGACGTCATGAATGTCTTCGATGGTAAGAGAGAAGTTCCGATCAGTGCTTCTTCTCCTGCCGCTGCTTCCTTTCTTCTTGAGAGAGTGTCTCAATTTGCTGGAAGCTTTGGCTGCTTTCTTCTTAAAGGTACCGATTCTCGTTCTCTTCTCATCCTCTGAAACTTCGAAGTCTGATCTCCTTTCTCTTCTCTCATCATTGCTCGAACATCCTTCGAAACCTGAACAATCAATCATACATAATTCAAATTACAATTCGAATTATGTAATTTAGAACCGCGATCATCGGGGTGAGATACTTACAAGGTCTAGCGAAATCGAGAGGGCCTGACATGAGGAGACAAGTTCAGACGAATCCCGAGAACTTGGGGTTACGGCAGAGAGAGAGAAGCGATCGGGGAGAAATTGAAAGAGACGTAAGAGGGAGAAGAAGTAAAGTGTTTGGTTTTAATATTTGATTAATTGTCTTTTTTTTTTTAATTAAGGTCAATATCTTGCGTTACAGTGCTTTTAATTGTTGCCAGAAACACAACCTCCGTTTGTGACTTTTTTTTTCCATTATTTTTTCTAGCTCAACTACGACGTTCATTAAGGATTTTACATGATTTTGATCTCGACAGAGATTAAACTACACATATAATAAAGTGATCTAATGTCACTAAAAACACATAGATAAATTCCACGCTATCCAAAAAAATCGAGAGGAGCCTCTACCAAACCAAGAACGAAAACGGAAACCTTTCGATTCACTCCCCAAATGGACATTTCAATATACAGTGAAATTTTTATAAATTAATAAATTGGTATTACACCAAAAATTTATTTATTTTTAATAATTTATAGAGATACTAATTTATTAATATACTAATTAAATCAAAATTTAATTTAGAATTATAAAATTATATTATTTTATAGAGATATTTAGTATATATTAATTTATTAAGTACTAATTTATAGAGGTTCTACTGTATTTTTTTTCTTGTTAAACCAATTTTGCTTATTTTTAAAAAATTGAAAAATACTATTACTTAAAATTTATTAATAACACTACTAAGTTTACATGCACTAATACTACTAACATTTCTGGAAAAAAATATATTCCAATATTTAATATGGGAATATATCTGATATAAAAAACTAAAAAAGTATTGTCTTCTTCTTTAGTTTTTTCTATATCAGATATATTCCCATATTAAATAATTTTATATCAGATGCTTGATCGATTATTTAATTCTTAATGTTAATATGTAAATTAATTTTATTTGCTCAAATTCTAAAAATATAAATATAAAAATTTTATAAGGACATTTATCTGTTTACAATAAAGTTTCGCACCATCAATTTATTGTAATATGATAATTTATTTACTAGAAATAGTAAAAAGTTAAGAAAGTTAATTAATTTTAATTAGTAGATTATTTAGTGATAGTTTAAAAACTAGATGAAGAGTTTTGTTATAATATTTGTAGATTTCTAAATTACGTATGTGTCATCCAAAAAGAATTTGCTTCCTTTTTTAATAGGGGATTTGTTGTCTTTTGTGTCAATTGCAAACAAATATATAGATTTATTTTGCGCAAGTTCGTAATAATTATATTCTACATATATATAGCACATTTGTGTGGTTGTCATTCCATCTGACTGTGAAAACATGTTGGTGAGATATTTTTATTGAGTGGATACGGTTTTGTTTCTGCTTTTTATTTTTAAAAAGTTATTTAATACTATCTATTGATAATATAATATCTATTAGACTTTGACCTACACGACCGTACGAGTTTGAATATTAAAATATTTTAGTTTATACAATAAAATTTATTAATATATTCATATAATTTGATATTATATATTATCTGATTTTATAATAATATTTGTGTTACTTATAGTATTATTATTATAAATTTGTATTTTTGTAACAATTTTTTAAAAATATTATGTAACAATAATAATTGTTTTACTTCTATATTTGAAATATATTTTGTAATTAAATTAAGTTGGACATAGATAATATATAAGAAAATTCTTAGGATACTATTAAACTTATTTTACATAATCTTTAATTTTGTTATAAATAAAAAATAAATCAGTTTTTAACTGTAATTTATGATTATTAAAACTCCAGTTAACTAATTTCGAAAATATATTTTAAAATATCTACAAGATTTTAAAAAGATATTTTTAGAATTTTGATAAAAATATTTTTTGTATTTCAAATAAAACTAAATATATGAAAATATATTATAATGATATTATGTAAAATCTTATAAATTTTATAAGGATGGTCCAAATTAAAAAATCACACATGAAATGAATTATAATAGAATGTTTTAATATAATAGATATATTCTGTGTTTATGTTTTTTCAAGTTGAAAATAAACTCTGCAAACAAAAAGGTTGTAGACAATTAAAAATACATAAAAGGTTCTAATTTACAGCCAAAACCAAAGTATCGTTTTTTTTAGTAAAAAACACACTGCAGCTTTGTCGGCAAAGCCATCTCGTTTTTCTTTTTTTCTTCCAACTTTTGCTACCATATCCATATATTATAATGTCACTTAGAATATAATAATCCGCTCAATTAATTTATTACTACCAATTAACTCTTGTTTCTTGGGTAAATAACAACGCCGAACAAGATTAAACTTAATTAAATTAGAGTGAGCTTAATGACATACTGTATATTAATAAGTTACTAGGATAAAACCTGCGCCTTGCGCAGAGTGAATATATGTAATTAAAATATAAAATTTTAATATTCACAAATTTAAAATTTACATATGATTGTTTTGTATGTATTTGAAATTTTAGAATTTTGGAATTTTTATATAATTATCTATACGTATGATCAAAAACAACTTTAATTAGAAATGTAAATCAAATCTTAGAATTTAATGGATCTGATTTCATATATATTTTTACTTTTTAGTGTTCGAGTGATGGAAAATAAATGGAGTGTCACTGGGCTTGATTGGTAGAGTATAGCAAGTTCCCTAATGTTTTTAAAGAAGCAATTGGTAAAATATTTGCAATTAAAATATATAAAGTTTCTAAACTAATTTAATATAATTTATTTATTTGTCTAATAATATTAGAAAATTATATTTTTTAAAAAATTATATTTTTAAAAAATAATTTTCTAAAAAATTATGTTAAATTTAAAATTATTTTAAAAGCAATATTTTAAGTTTTTCGAATACAAATAAACAATTTAAAATTAATTATTGTCATGATTTAACATAGCCATAATGATTTAAAAAATTAAAAAAAAATTT